TTGACTGCACCACTCTCACCTGAGATTGCTTTGAAGACTAGGCCATAGCCTGTTTTGAAGTGGCTGAGCCATCCTTCGCTTAGGACAAAGTTTTGAACACCCATATGCATGGCGATCTCTCTAGCTTTCTGCTCGAGAATCGGTCCGCTTATGGGCAGATTGGAACTCCGTGCACACTTGGACCATAGAAAAAGAACTTTTTCAAGTTGTTCATAAGGCATCATTCGCAATTGCATCTGTTTAGATGTAAAGGTCTCATTTTTAACAGTGCCTTCAATCTTTTCTCCATCTTTCCAGATCCGCAACAGCGTCAATTTTGGGATGTATTTTTTCGCCACCTCAGTCTTGGGCAGGCCGCTTCAATCAAGCTCCTGAAGAATTTGCAGTTTCTTTTTCAAGCGAGAGTGCATGGTGCAGCCGCTTTCTTTTCATTGGGCTGAAATAACACCGTCATCCACCACGCTTAGCCACACAAATAGGCCTAATGCACAATTTACCTGCCGACTCGGCTCCCACAGCCACAGGCGAGAATGGCTATTGGATTGGCTTGTCTCGATCTCAAGGTGTTGCCAAGGTTGTGAGACTACCTTTGGCATGAGCGAGCCTATGCTGTGTTTAGAATTTGTACTGTTTAACCGTAGGTGACCAGCTAGCACTGTTTCAATTAACCGATGAATTTTACTACACAACACATAGAAATCCAGCCATACAAGCCCGTTAAGTTCTATAATTAAGGCATTTTTCTTCATGCAAATTTCATTTATTGGGACTCCACTGTAATACAATTATAAATGCGTCATTGGTGTGAGCGGCGTCTTCTTATAAAGAACAACCCGTAGCAAAATGAAGGGAGGTTTTTTTTTTATGATGTTCCCATGGAAAATATTTACACAATTGTAGGTACTATACTCTTCGGCGGTGGTACAACCCTGTTTGGCTCCGTAGCCTTCCCTTCATTGCCAAGTTGTCTGAGTAGAGTCAACTTCTATCCTTAGCCCTAATCTGTCTATTCGAGATGGTGCCTAGATGGCTACTCTCATGCGCTCCAACAATGGTATACCACTCTTACTGTTCCAATGCCACTTCCGTAACTATGACGAAGTAGTACCGTTGTCCAAGTCGTCCTGGAAAACGTTGCTGAGCGAACCACTAGACCTCATTGCCGGTTGGTACCAGTTTTTGTCGTATTCTCCAGGTCGGTTACGCTACGCCTAACTCGTCAATGGCGTCTTGACTGCGGTGTGGGCCGCATACATTGTCTTGAAGTGGAAGAGCTGTAGTCCACCCAGGGACTGCCGTGACAGGTTGCGGCCAGTCTGGGCAGCCTCATTCGATTCTTCCAATATCCATGGCCACTCTCCAAGCCTTTTCGCCGGCAGCCTCAGAACCAGGCGGTCATGCTGCTCCCATCGCCGTAGCGACACTAGTTTCCCACATCTTCGCAGTTCGGCGTCCCAACACCCAGTGCCAGCCAGCTCATCCTCTGGATTTTTTTTTTTTTTTTTTTTCTCGACACGAGTCGCGTGCCACGAGCCTTTTTCAAACCAATCTCTTCCATTTACATGTCTGGTGTGCGTGCCCTCTGGTGACTCTTTTCTCCTCGCGCACAGTTGCCGTTTGGCACACATCTCGTGCCTCTCCTTACTCATCACAGCTGCAAGGCCACGATCTACTTACAGTAGACTCCTCTTAAACGAAACTCGAAGGGGCAAGAAAATTTGTTCCATTTATGAGAAGTTTACTTTAAGCAAGGCCCACAAAATCAATAAAATATGACTACTTCAAAAGCAACAACTGTGGCTAACTCAACAAAAACATTTTAAAGTGCATAATACTTATATAGTTGATTATAAAGAAAAATGTTGCTAATATTGCTAACGGATATCTGTGCTAACAGCTGCACTTTTTCCAGAAACTATCTTAAAAATAAGACCATGCCGCTTTTTAAAACGGCTCAGACAGTCATTGCTAACACGCAAGTGCTCGATCCCCATGCGAGTAGCGATCTCTTTGGCCTTCTCTTGGAAAATGGGGCTGCTGATCGGGAAGTTTGCACTGCGCGCACGTTTTAATCGGAGAAAAAGGGCATCGTCTATTTTTTTGTAAGCCGCTGTTCTCATCCACATTCTGTCCGTGGCAAAGTTCCCAAGCTTGGCAGTTTCTTCAATTTTCCCTTTGTTTTTGAGTATCCTCAACAGTGTGGACTTGGGAATACTGAACTTCTTCACAATTTCTGTCATCAATAGGTCATTGCGGTCAAGTTCTCGAATCATTTTTACTATTGTTGCGAGCAAAAGTGCATTATGCTACCGTTTTTTTTGTTTTCATCTCAAGTTTACGAGGACATGAAAGAAAAAACATGGATACGAGATGGATCGTTTGCTGCTCGGCGTGCGCGAATATGTGCAATCGCTGGATTGGCTTGGCTAGGCTAGCTTCGGCATTTGTTTCATGGTTGCTAGACTGCCGTTGCCACTTCCGCCGTACATGGTTTTTGCCCGTTTCAGTTTCATTTAACCAATGTAAGCAGAAAAAAATGTTTCGATTACCCAAAGTTATTTATCAATTAATATATAGGAGACCAACCAAATGTTTCTAGATAGTTTCGTTTATGCGGCTTTTTCATTTAGGCGAGTTTCGTTTAATGGGAGTGCACTGTACTTCGCTGCCCAATGAAGGTGAGAAGAGTCGAGAAACAGTAAAACGTCGTTCCCACAGGATATGACGTATACCTTTTGGGGCAATCAACCACGCAGCAGTTCATGATTCCGATAAACTACATGCTAGCGGGCATTGGGACAGCGTTCGGTTCTGCTCGGGCTCTCAACGGCTGTCTGTTCGGATGGCCGCGGCGCATCACGCGAGTCCCCGTGCAGGAAGTGTATAGCAGATGTGTATTGTGATGAAACATAAAGGAAAAGGCGAGCACATACATATTCTTTAAGTGACAGATACCAAAATGTCAACTCAACCAGCTCTTCGTGTGCACATTGCCTCAACTCTATGTGGCTGGTCTTCCATCGCACTGAATCAGGTGTGCCACGGTGCAGGAAAAATACTTGGGATGTGGTCACTCGGCTCATAGTGCAACCAAATTTTGTGCTTCCTTACGCTGTTACATGACAAAAAGTCCCAACCATTCCACACGGCAGATCGTTCGGTGCTGTGGCACGTATTACCGAGTATTTATGTACGAATAGTGCCTGCCGTTGAGAACAAATTATTTCACTACATTATATCTGGGATTTCCCTTTGAAGACCAGTAAGCAACGCTTCTTTCTTATCACTCGAAGCTCATAATTGCAGGAATATTTACTGCAGCATTCTTTCCACTAAGAGACACCGTTGAGTACACAGTTTGCTCAAGCCACTTCTGTTTTCTTTGATTATTGACAACATTTTCAGTGACAAAAGAGGCCCAATATTTCATCTTAACTTTTTTATATACTAAGTAATTAACAAGCACTATAAGTTAATACATTAGCAAATTATAATCTTTCAGCTCTGGGTAGGCAACAAGGCAATGTCAATACCATACCCTTTCAGTGATGCAAAATACGTTTCATACAATCATTATTCCCAAGAAAATCAAAGAATGGAAGAGTTTCGCACTAATCACAATGTGCGGTTATCTTTTCAAGTATTTTCATTTCATTTCATTTCATTTATTTATACTGTTAGCCCAGAAGTGGGCCGTTACAGGGTGGAGGTACAAACAATTATTTGCGAAAAAGAAGTACCGTACAGGTCTCGAGATAATTTCTCGGTATTATTGTGAGCAGCAACTCGAAGTTATACATAACAAGAAATGGAACACACATGCAATGCAATACATACGCGCAGAATACCACATGACGCATTTGAGGCGGCACTTTTGCACCGCGCTGAAGATTTGAAAGACAACTACTACAGTCTCATGCAACCAAAAAGTACACGCGCAAACCACAGTTATTCAGAAAATAAACGTTTTAGATTCTGTTCAAATGATGTAAGCGAGGAACAACCAATTATAGACTCTGGCAGCATATTCCAATCTTCAATAGCACCTGGAAAGTAACTAAACTTAAAGCAATCGTTACCAAAACCTCATTAACGCTGCTGTTTTCTAAGGCCTCAATATTGTTATGAGACTTGTAAATGAGGATTAATAAAAGTACAGTACTGGCACGCACTTGTCGTTGATCTCCTGAAATTAAACCTCATTAAAATCCTTGTTTACAAGTTCTGTGACAATATGAACAAGAAGCTCTTCAAATACTCTTTTCTGTGTTTACGACACTGTGCCAAGATGGCTTCTGAAATAGTTGTTGCATTCAGCATTTTTTTAAATGTTAATTTGTCTCCATGGTCAGCTGTATGTTTGTTGATATTCTATATTGGCCTATTTATCAGCTTTATATTGCTTTATTATAACTGAATTTATGTTGATGTTTATATTCCCATTTAGCTTGCTATAGCTAACATTTTTAAACATCTAGAAGCAGGGGTCGTGTGCTTGAGCCGATGTTTCGCCACTTTTCTTCAAGGCTAGCCTTGAATTCTCCAAAGACTTCTGCTGCTGCTGCCCTCATTGTTTTCCCTTAAACCTTTTGTTGTGGAAAAGAGAGGGGGTCGGCAATGCTTCTTTTGCCTCGATGCATCTCTCTGCGCTTCCCGAGTGCAGCGGAATGCAAGAGAGGAACAAACTTTACATTGACGAGACGTGCTTCCACGAGCTCCCACTTATCAAACTAAAGGTCTCTCAACTGTCATTAGTAGTTTTTAGAAGTCACACATAGTGGTGATGCTGCCAGTTAAAAGCGCCTTCGACGTGGTTTGTGGACGGAGCAAACACTGCTCACTTGTTAACACAGACGTAGTGTGTCAAACCTCTTTCATTCTACAAGATATTATACTGCCATGCCTATACACCTTTAGTAGCTGGTATGGCATGCAAATGAATGCCTGCTGTGCAGCACATCGTTTTCCTGGTCGTTCAAAAGACGAAAGCAGACTACTACCTCTTTGCGCGCTCCAGGTCGTCATTAGATTGCTCCAGCTCCCGGATGTAGTTGTGCATCTCTTCCCTGGAGGCAGTCACTTCCTCCAGCTGTGCCTGCAGATCGTGCACCTGCCGAGAGCTCTCCTGCTTGCTCTGCTGAAGCTTTTCCTGCCCACAACAGATAAAGAGCCTGAACTCAAACTAAAAGTCACCAGATAGAACAAAAGTGAGACTATTCTGGAGCTATATTTACTTTATTATATTTCAAATATGCAAAAACAAAGAACGAGGTGCACAATTTTTCGGCTTTGATTGATCTTCGAGCTAAAAGTGAGCCGCAAAAAATTTTTTCTTTTATGGGTGGGCAAATATTCATAACTTGAAAAACTTTTAATAGTGTTTGCTACTGGATTAGATTCGCAATGAAATTTTTATTGTTCAAATTACCCAAAGAAAAATTGGCAGACCCCACGTACAGTGGGAATGGATGATATGCGAAGAACGAATGAGAAATGTTGATATGTCACTTTAAAATCAGCACAACGTTACGAGGTGGCAAATGATGCCGTACGTGACTTCCGTGTCACGATTGGTCGTGCCGTTTACCTTCGTTATCTATTCACGTCACGTGATACCAAATTTAGTATATGAGGAGCTAGCGAAACGGCCGCGAGCATGCTATGAGCGTGGTATGTTGTCATGTTCCTATATGACACGCGTGTCAGGATTATCATGTTTGCACCAGTCATATATTTCATCGTCCATTGACGTCACGTAACATCATATTTGGTATATGTGGAGCTAGAAAAACGGCCGCGAGCGCATCTTGAAGCGTCCAATATACTCCAATGTAGTGTTGACACATGCACACGCTGGGCACAGCGACGCTACATTAGCAAAACGCGAGCACTCTATAGTCTGACGCCAGGCGTGACCAGCGTCTGTCGGCGCGGCGCGACGGCAACCGGCGCGAAATGTGACATGCTGTATTCCGCGTCGATGCGTTACCAAGACAACACTGCCTCTCCCTCTTTGCGTGACGGAAGGAGGCCAGACGCGCTGAAACGCACATACAAGTATACGAACCGCGCCTGCGAGTATTCCTGCTTGGGCCGCCCTAGGCCTGCAGTATTGTATAAATAAATAAAAAATATGGAAGGACTGGCGCATGGCGTGGCAACGCCGGTGTGGCGAGACTTTTCGAAATGAACGACAGAGAGCACACGCACCATGTCATGTCGAAATACATTGGCGTCTTGACTGTGGCATGTAGTCATATTCTCAAAAGACACGCATCTCGTGATTATCATGTTTGCACCAGGCACATACCTTCGTCATTCATTGGCGTCACGTAATACCAAGTTCGGCATATGTGAAGCTAGCGAAACGGCCGTGAGCGCATTATCAGTGTGTAATTGTAGTCATGTTGTTACATGACACACATGTTGTGAATATCGTGTTAGGATGTGTCAGTTACCTATGTCGTTCGCTTGCGTTGTGTAATACCCAGTTCGGTACATGTGAAGCTAGCAAAAGGACTACGAGCGCATCATGAGTGTAGCATGTAGTCATGTTGTTAAATGACGCCCATCTCATGCTTATCATGTTTGCATCAGTATCGTACCTTCGTCATCCATTCAGGTCCCATAATACCAAATTTAGTATATGCGACGCTAGCGAAATGACCGCGAACACATCATGAGCGTGGCATGTAGTCATATTGTTACACAACACGCATGTCATGATTTTCATGTTAGGGTCTGTCGCTTGTGTTTGCAATGCAATCATGCCATACCATACCAGTTTTGCAACATGCCATGTGAACGAAACTACAAGAGCTGCAGGATCGTGAAACGGACATTCATGACATACATGTCATGATTTTCATGTTATGACTAGTCAAATATGTTCTTCATACAGTCATGGTATCGATACTATTATCGAAACGGCCAGGAGTGCTAAAAGTCGTAAGCGGCTAGCTAGCTAGCTAGGTAAAAACAGACAAAAATTCAGAAATATGTTCCCAGAGTGTGAACAAAAGACTTTACAAATATGTTTCCTACACAGTATTTTCTAGTATAATCAGCACTCATTAAACATCTAAGTATTGTTTCCTTAAATTTGGTGCAAAAAAAATTAAGTTATATAGTTGCATAGGTGGAGGTTTCTATTTCTATATGTGAAGGCCAATGTCTGGACTGCGCCTCTGAAGACTGACTTGGAAAGTGCTCAATGGGTGGGACATAAAATTGACAAACTCGCAAGCTGCAGTCGCGAGTTGGACATGCTTGTGTAGTATGACCGGTAGTCTCCAAAAAATTCGACTCGGAGCGTTTATTTTTATTCCTTTTGTGTACCCTCTGGTGAGCAATGTCAAGTCAGTATAATATATGTAGCTTGATTTGAGCTTACTTTATTTTGCTACAAAATTAAGTGTCATTATATTTTTATATAAAAGAAGTGAAATGTAACATTAATATATTGACCTATTCCATTTTCCAATTTAACTACAATGCCTATCTTTCGCATTACAAGAACTTGTAATGGGAACTCGTTCAAAAATTGGGAGAACGCGCTTTCGTTCTTATTGTAGAGGAACCTGTTCAACACAGCGCTTAATTATAAAAACGCGCGATCACTCTTTTGCTCTTTTTTTCACTACACTCTCCGTTGGTATACCCTTTAAAAGCCGCTATGCCCTCTCGCAGAGCACTCCTCCCAATCTCGCGCGGCATACGTCATCGCCGACGCACTGCTGGAAACAGTTTATTTCTGGTTAATGTGACTCCGTCAACTGCATGCTTGTTACCTGACCACTGTTGCCGTGCCAGCCCGTGCTCATACGAATCGTACCAGCATGGACCCTGCATTACGGGCGGCTGTAGCCGATTCGCAAGCCCGCGCACGCAAGCAGGCAACACAACAACCAACAACACGCAGCGTGGACAGATGCTTGCAGACTCCCTGGAAGTCATAGACTCTTGCTTGACCAATCACACCATCAATGCGCAGTGGGTCAGAGGTCCAAGTTTACGCCGTCACACGGAGGCTCACGAGGCCCGGAGAAGAGGAGAGATTGTTTCTTGGAATTTGTGGCACACTGGCAACTTATAGATCGGGACAGCAGGGGACAAATTATTGATCGGGACAGCATTCTGCACACAATGCATGTGTTTACTAAATATGTATCAGAGATGGTTTAGGGGCCCAATTAACAGTGGACCCTTCCGATTTTCAAGAGCTACTTCGTGACGGTACAGCCTGAACCTCCCTAAACCGGAGGTCTTAGGACGCAGTTGAGCAGCTGCTCTCCTCCCTTCCTAACCCCCTAACAAAAAGCACACATCTGCTCTCCGCAAGCAGGTTGCAAATTTTCAGAAGCATCTCGCAATCGCAGAGGCGATGAAGAGCGACGCCACCCCTTCAAGAAAGGCTGCCGACGCCCCTCATAGCACTCAAGGCAAGAGTAAGCGCGCTTGAAACTAACTCCCAAATATCCACATTAGAGACGCCAATTATTCCCACACTTAGTCCGGCACTCCACAAAATTAGCTTATGGAATCCATCCTAAGCATCATAGCTACTCAGCTGGCTCAACTCACCCACCCTAACTTTCGCGAGCTCAAAGCGTTCAGGTGCCAGAGCGCTTCCCATAATGAACCTACAGTATCTCCACTATGGACTTCTCTTCTGTCCATGTAGCGAGTAGCCAGGCTCTCACACCTCAAAACTATCAACTCCAGGAATAATGAGCTTCCACAGCCCAATTCGACCCCAATTCAAATTGAACAGAGGAACGCCACAGATTCAATGCACGCAATGAGCTATGCCTTTTCCTTACAACTCTTGCCAAATTACCTGCTGTGGTGGCCCTTCAGGAGCCTGGAACTCTCACCAACTAGTAACAGGAAGATGTGCAGAGCTGCCTCAGTACACACAAAGGTTACAGGGAGATTGACCTGGACCTCCTATATAATGATGACAATCCCTCTGCTACGCATACAGGACTCCCCAATTAACATGTACTGCTTCCCAAAGCTAGCGAATATCATCTTTGCAGATATCTTCAGCCACACCTTGAACACTGTGTAACAGGATCCAGTCATTATTGTGGAGACATTAACACTCACAGCATGTTTTGGTGGTGAAGAGAAACATAGATGCAAGTTGGTGAAACTTTTGTCCACATTGGGCTTCACACTTCCCACACATCTCGTGCAACCCACGCATATATAGACCTGTGGCACATACCCGCTTAGCAGGGGCACATACCCACCCATGAGTATGTGCCACTGTCTGGCGGGAAGTGTTTGACAACTTAGGCGACGTGATTGTTGACATTA